GCCCGCAGGAGATCTCAACAGATTGGGAACACTTTATCAGAATCATCAACTAGAGTCTACCTGCAATCTTGTGAGGCACCAATAAACAAAGAAGCGAGATTCTGGGCTCCATTACAAAATCAATTGAGTTTAGACTTGTGAAATTGAAAGTCTGTATCTGTAGGCAAATGCAGTAGCACAATTGCACACTGCAATGTCCCACAAACAGAAGACCTGTTTTATTTGTGGGATTGTTGTCCAGGACACTAGGAGAACTCCCTTCTCTTTTTGAATAGTGCCATGAGATCTTTAACACCTATCTGAACAGGCAGACTGGACCTCAGTTTAACATCTATCCAAAGTACGACATCTCCAACAATGCAATACTCCCCCAGCACTGCATTGAAGTGTCATCTTTGACTATGTGTGTTCAAGTCCCGACATGGGATTTGAACCCACACCCCTCTGATTCAGACGTAAGAAATGCTACCACTAAGCCAAGCTGGCACACATTAAAAGAGAAGAGCTAAGAGGAATGGCTAAATACAGTAACATAAGATTTTTTATTCCTTGGATATAGATTTCTCATAATTAATCTGATATAAAATATACTTAAAAAATTAAACATGGAACAATACTCTCAGATAATACAAGGCAGCGACAAGACATCACAGATTCAGGGATATAAAGTAGAAGTTGTTCTCACATTGTGCATATGCACCGCTCAGATGTGTGAAGTCCCATAGCAAATAGTGGTTAGAGCACTCGCCTCGCAAGTGAGAACCTGGGTTTGATTCCCGGGCAGGGCGAAACCTAAGGCAAGTTTCCTTACTCCACACGCCTTTGTGTTTACCTAGCAGTAAGTAGGAACCCAGTTGTTAGTCGATTGGTAGATCGCTTTCTAGGGGTAATAATCCCTCTAAATAATAATAATTTGGTCACTCAATCCACGACTGTTTATGAGACACAACTATGTTCAATTGGTTGCCGTATTTCAACCATAAATTATACAGTCAATTCACTTAACAGTATATTCTGTGAAGTGTTTTGAGACGTCTCAAAGACATGATAAGGCGCTATATCAAATGCAAGTATTATTATATTATTGTTTTAATATCTCATCCAAAGAACAGCTGTTCTCGGCAGTTCATTACAGTGCTAGGGGAATGCTGGATTGAGTTCAGGGTCCTCAAGAGTATTACCAACTCGGCCAAACAGACATCAGGAGGATTTCTGGCCAAGAGAGTTGGGGAAAACTGTCTCCTTTTTTCCCATGGGATCGTTAACACCTACCCAAATTCTCTTACACCATTAGAACCAAGTTAAATTAGGAAATTTGACTCACTGGCGCGGCAATAGTTAATCTATGTTTTGTTCTATGAGATATATTAACTAATATCATTGAACCACAGGGTAATTTCCTGCTTTAAACAGCAACGGTAACCAAGAATAAACACAAGAATTCTTGAAATCCTGCTGTTCACTGAGTTTTTTATTGAACTGGCATAAGTCTTGAAAATTACAATGGCAAACTGGAAGAAAAGCTTTTTCAGCTCACTAAACTGAATCTTTTTATCCGCAATGACAAACATGCAAAGTCATATAGCTCAGTGGTTAGAGCCTTCGCCTCGCAGGCGAGAGACCTGGATTTGATTCCCACCAGGGCAAAATGTTGGAGAAGTGGCCTTACTCAACACACCCCTGTTTACCTAGCAGTATATAGGAACCTGGTTGTTAGTCGATTGCTAGATCGCTTTTCCGGGGATAATAATTTCTTAAAAACAAAATTGATCACTCAATCTACGACTGTTTGTGGGACACTGCTGTGTGCAATTGGCTGCCACATTTCGCCCACAAAATATACAGTCAATTCACTTTACAGTATATTCTGTGAAGCTCTTTGAGACGTCATAAGGTGCTACATCAAATGCAAGGATTATTATTCTCCCTAATTTAGTCTTTTGAGAGAAGTAAAGAACTGACATATTTATTGTGCCTCATCACATCATAAAGCACATCACAGATGTTGCTGTCAAGTTTAATGACTATTATTGCAGACAACTCAGCAACCATTTATATTGGCAAGGTCCACAAACAGTCTTGAGGTGAATTTTAAGAAGTTTGTGTGTCGGTTTGGCTTAATGGTAGCACTCTCACCTCTGAGTCAGAAGGGTCTGGATTCAAGCCCTACATAGGGACTTGGAATCATATTATCTATGCTGACAGTCCAACGCAGTGCTGAATTGTTGGAGGTGCCGTCCTTTGGGTGGACATTAAACTGAAGTCCAATTTGCCTGTTCAGGGGGATGTTTAATATCTCATGGCACTATTGGAAAAGAAAAGGGAGTTTCTCCTGGTGTCCTGGCCAACAAATCCCCCAAATAAAATTGGTCACTCACTCCATGGCTGTTTATGGCGCATTCCTGTATGCAGCTGGCTACCGCGTTTCACCCACAAAATACACAATCAAACTGCTTTACAGTATATCCTGTGAAGCGCTTTGAGACGACACGACAATGTGGTAATATGCTATGTCAAATGCAAGGATTATTATTAAGGTACTAGAAGAATCTCATCTCTATCAGTTACATAGAATGTTTATCACCCACTAAAACTGGCAGACAGTACTTCAGTTTAATATCTTATCTGAAAGATGGCACCTCCAATTATGCAGCATTCCCTTAGCACTGCACTAGGGTTATGAGCTTCAGTCACAATGTCAGCTTGAACTCACAATTTTTGGACGCAGAATTGAATATGCCACCAACTGAGGCAGCCTGAATTTTCAGCTACTGGTTCAATAACCTTGAATTTCATCCTTCATCCTGAACACTGCGGAGTGAAAACCAGCAGCATTATTTAACTAAACCCATTCTAGCTACACCAGTCCAGGACTGAAGCCATACTACTTCTTTCTGTTCCTATTTTATTCTCGCATCTCAGGAATTTAAGAAACTTTAGGTTAGGAAAAGGCAATTAGGCCCAACATTCCTGCTTTGATGATTTTCAACCCCACTTTTCCTACCCGCTTCAGTATTCCTCCTCAAGTGCTTCTTCAGAAATGCATCCAGTTGACTGTGGAACTGGATTGTTCAGGAGCCAATGCCTCCATTTACTGTTAGTATTATTTGCCTCATTAGTTGGCTTTCCCCCACGTCTTACTCCACAAATCATTACCTTTTATGTAGAAAGTGTTCCGTCTGACTTCCCTTTCTATTTATGTTGTAGTGGCTAAGTACAGCCTGAACAGAACACTCTACATATAAAACAGGACTTCTGAGAATGTCGAGTCTTAAGTTGACAATGTAGTGAGTTGACAGCCCATCTTTTGTTTATTGCTGGCTGACACATGAGCTGGTTCAATAGAAAAGTGCAGCCGCAATTTTTTCGCGGAATCCGCTACAAACACCCCGTCCACCACTGTGAAACCACTAAAAAGTGAAGTTTCTCCAGGCCTCTCGCGCTGTTTATCCGACGCAACTGTGGGCCGAGCGGCTCCAGACATGCATGTTCGGTGTGACACAAGCGGGAAATGGGCTTCGCTTCACTCGGAGGCCACACTGTTGGGATTGTCTGTGTCTCTCTCCTCTGCATGTGTTTGTGAGTGTCTGTGTGAGTGTGTCTATGTGGCTTTTTCTCTCTATGTGTTTGTGAGTGTCTACGTATGTCTGTCCGTGTGTGTATGTCTCTTTGTGTCTGAGTGTGTGTCTCTCTCTCTGAGAATGTGTGTCTCTGTGTATGTCTCTCTCTCTCCTCTGTATATATGTCTTTGTGAGTGTGTCTCTTCTATATGTATGAGTGTTTCTGTGTCTCTCTCCTCTCTGTGTGTGTATGTCTCTTTGTGTCTATGAGTGTGGTGTGTCTCTTTCTGAGAATGTGTATCTCTGTGTATGTGTGTGTCTGTAAGTGTGTGTGTGTCTCTTGCTCTGTGTATCTGTGAGTGTGTGTGTGTGTGTCTCCCTCTCTATGTCTCTGTGTATCTCTCTGTGTCTACGAGTGTGTGTATGTCTTTCTGTGTCTGAGTGTATGTGTGTCTCTTTCTGTGTCTCTGAGTGTGTGTGTCTCTGTGTCTGAGTGTGTGTGTCTCTCTCTGTGTGTCTGTTAATGTGTGTGTCTCTCTGTCTGTGTGTGTGGTGCTGGGCACTGAGAGGCAGGAGGTGTATAGCTCTTGTAGCCCCACAGCCAGGACACTGGTCCTGAGTGTTTATTTTTTGGCGGACCTCCAGGCCCTTTGGGCCTGTTCTGGTGTCCCACCCCACTCCCCACAAATGGGTCACCCATTTTTTGTTGAAGAAGAATTTTTTTGCAACAATCTAATATGTGTTATTTCCTTATGTTTAGTTTTTATCAATAAAGTGAAAAAATGTAGGTTGGCAGTAAAATGTACTTCAATAGCACTAATCAACACCCCGCAATTTTGTGCAAAATTTGTCAAATTCGGCATCTGCTTCAAATTACGTTCACTCCCTCCGTTGCCTAATGAGTAACACTAAGCTATAAAAATCAAACAGATTCCATTTCTGGTCTGTGCAGAGAATTCCACATTCTCACCATCCTCTGCAAAAACTTTTTTAACCTCCCCTTTAATTCATTTTCACGAAATACTCAGTTAATCCACGTTACAATATATTCTGCAAAGAGCTTTGAGACATCTCAATGATGTGATAAGGCATCATATCAAATGCAAGGATTATTATTTGTTATTACTATTATTATTATCATTATTATGTGACTTGTTATTAATGATTGTGTGCTTCTTAGCCCCTTCTCCCAAGTAAATTCCTCAATGCTTGACACAAGGATACAAATAATTTTCCAACAGGAGGATTTTTTGAAGATGTGAAAGAGACTTTGTGTATACATCCGATTAGTCATGTTAGGTCTATCTAGGAGAATCCAATTGGATGCTGCAGCAGTTACAATAGCCTCTGTTTCAAAACAAGGTACTTCAGGTTTTGTTTTCTGACAAGTTTAGCTACGTGCAGTCTAACTTTGTTTAATTTGCGTTGCAGGACTCCAGAATGTCAGCAGGAAATTTGACATTGCCTAATCGCCTCCCGTTTGAGGACTTTGAATATCCTTCTCAACTAGACAGACAATTGGAGCTATTCCCCCAGTGGCATTTGCCTGTCAAGCTAGCAGGAGGATTGTCTCTTTCTGTCTTCATGTACACTTTCCTCCGGGATGTCATTCACCCCTATGCGACTGAAAATAAAAATGTATTTTATAAAATTCCCATTTTGGTAATGAACAAAGTGTTGCCAGTGGTTGCCATCATCCTTTTGGCTTTGGTGTATTTGCCAGGGATTTTTGCTGCAGCTTTCCAACTCTATTTTGGTACCAAATACAGACGTTTCCCTCGCTGGTTAGCTCGGTGGATGCTGTTACGGAAACCTCTTGGACTCCTTAGCTTCTTTTACGCAGTGCTGCATGCATTCTTCAGTCTGTGCTACCCAATGCGAAGGTCGTACAGATATAAGTTACTCAACTGGGCATATCAGCAGGTAAGGATAAGTAAAGCTGTTGGGATATTCCCTCAACACTTACAGCAACCACTGTATAATTATACAGTACAACTCGCATAAGTCTGATCTGTATAAATAGTATAATTGCCTAAGTCGTACATCTGCCTAAGTCCCATTCAAGAGCTTACATTCTATGCAAGTTTGACATAACTCATACATTGCATAATAATTCATATTAAGTGTATGGTTCCCAACTGATACTACTTATGTGAGGTTTACAATATATTATAATTATATATTATATTATATATAAAACTATATATAAATGACTCATTATCAATTTGCTGCATCTCATACTTCCTGAAATATAGTGCACATTGCCTTGCCATACTTTCTTTAACTTTAGGTTAATCTGTACCATCCCTTATCTCTGTTTGAAAGTGTTTCACTTTCACTCAACACCTCACAACTGGGTAAAACATTCCACTTATGTTTAGATTTACTCTATTTATACAGCATTTTAGATTGTCGAGAATTTGGCAAATTCTTAAATACAGTGTTATATTTTGTAACTTTTTCTGTCGTCGTTCTACGAACTACAGAAAAACGGCTTCAAAGTTGAGGTTGAATTCAATAGTTTGTCAGATTCTAGCCACTCTAAATCGTTACATAGATAGAGCAAACCTAAACCCAGGTGGAATATTTCCCCAAATCATTCTAAAACGCCTTTGCTCCTCTATTGAAAGGATTAGGCTTGGTTGGTGAAAAGGCATTATTATTCTTCACTTTCCTATGTTGTTGACCCCCCCCCTGGAATTTTTGTTCTGATTTACTGATTTATTTTATCAGTGCTGTGGAAGGCAGTGTATGTCATACTGTGTATTGTAAGAAGTACCATATTTTCGGGGCTGAGATTTTTCCCTACCCGGGAAATGTTTCAGAATTTTTAAATATTCAAGTTTTGGTATATTTAATTTAATCAACTAGGAATCTTAAACCATGAATGCAGCCCACATTAGTACATTGTGAGGGTTGGATTCCCGATTAAATATGCAATATAGGGATATAGGCTTAGTGCCAAAGCAAGCAGGGGATGAAAATCATCATTATGTACTTGTATAAGGACCTAAATACTAGACTGAATGGAAATGCTGAATAGCTTTTTCATTTAATTGTGATTCTGTGGATGTCTATGAGATATCAGCAAATCTGCTTCACCAATGCTTACAACATTTAAACTAGCATACATAAAATTCATGTGAACTACTTATTGTTTTGTGGTTCTGTCACTTCCCATAAAATCAATGTATGATTGTTTCTCAGTTTGTATAATCTCAGCCATGCAAATAGGATCTGATTCCTTGCCTGGGAACCGGTACTAAGGTCACCTGAATTTGTAAAGCAAGCTTATCCTTTCAGAATGAATTTGCCTTTTTTGGTTAGGTTAATAAAAATGTATTAGCATCTAACCCACAATTCTCAGGTTATAATAGAACTTTAATCCTAAAGGGAAAATATTTTTCGGGTTAATCATGGCAAGTGAATTAATTCTTTGCCTTAAAATAAGTAAAGCAAAGCATGGCATGAGAAAAAATCTTTTAGAACCAAGCAGGCCCACTCCTACGTACAAGATTTAAAAATCTACTCTTTTGTGATCTTTGCTCCCTTTACTCCACCTGCTTATTCATCTTCCCATGATGCTCAAAGCGATTTAAGACAAACCAGAATATTGAAACATAGAAATTTTCTGTTCCACCCACCTTTAATGTTAACCCCGCTTGGTATATGACAGTATATGCCATTTTGCCTTAAAAGATAAAATTGTTTTATTTTAACAGGTGAAACAAAACAAAGAAAATGCATGGATTGAAGATGACGTCTGGAGAATGGAAATATACGTGTCTCTAGGAATCCTAGGTCTTGCAATTCTTTCCTTATTGGCTGTGACTTCAGTTCCGTCTATCAGCAATTCATTGAACTGGAGAGAATTTCAATGCATACAGGTATCTAACTAGTAAAACAAAATAATAATAATAATAATCCTTGCATTTGATATACACTTTATCATGTTGTTGAGAAGTCTCAAAGCGCTTCATAGAATATTTTCTGGACAAAACGCGGCAGCCAATTGTGCACATCAGTGTACAACAAACAGTCGTGGATTGAAGTGATCAAATGATTATTATTTTTTATTATTAAAATTATGGGATACAACAAACTGAAGAAGAAAATTGTAGGATGACAGAGACTGCTGAGCAGAGTGTACAGATCAATGGTAGATGTAGTTTAATGTTGAGAAATTTAAATTGGTACATTTTGCAAGGAGGTGGGGAGTGAGGGGAACTAAAGAAATAAAGTAAATCCTAAATGGTGTAGATGCTAATGATATTAAAGAACAGAGAGGTCAAAGGATGCAAATATGTGAATCTTCCGAGAACAAAAGGCCATAAAATAACTAATGACATTCAAGGGTTTATTCACAGGGACAGCCTCAGCAAAATGGCTGGATCCAATGATTTTATTGCAGGACTCCATTGCTGTTCTTGATTATGGAAATTGGTATTTTAGTAGGGGCAGAATCAATAGGAATATTTAACGGAGCGATAGATAGCTACTTGGGTAATAGAAATATTAAGGGGTGTGGCGAAAGGATGGGGAATTGGGCTTTAAAGATCTACCAAGATCTAATAAACTATGAAACAGCCTCGTTGGACTGAATGGTTCCCCTTCTTCATAATTTTCCATGTTCGTTCCTATGAATCTACAACGCACCTTTTCCGATGCTTTTATATCTCCTTTACTGGAGTGCCCACAACTGTACATAACTGAAAGCCCCACTGGTAAAACTTATTGTGGCCTGTTCACATCCATATTTATTGTAAAATTGCTGTTAACTTGCCAGAAGATCATATGTATGCACTTCTATGCGTAAGGTTTCAGATTGGTTACTTAAATTGTTTCATAGAAAAATATGAATGTACGGGATCAGAAAAGACCAAGAAAAAATCGAATGAATTGTAATAATGTGAATTAATGTAACAGGTTGTATAGGATTTGTAGCAGCACATGATTTATTTTGCTGTTATTAGGGCCTATCCTACACAAATCGCTAAAATCACAATCTGTTACATCTTTCTAATGGAAAATCCCATTATAAATATGTTATTTCCCATTATAAAGATTATAACAATTAAACAAGCAGATCGCTATTTTTATAAAAATAGATCTCATTGTAAGTTAGATAAAATAGATGCCAGCCTCCTCTTTAAACAGTGTTTTTATTGTAGTCTAATACAGCATAATGGGAAAGCTGTTTTTGATATTCAAACAATGTATTTTTTTTAAAGTATCCAAAAAAAAGCACATTAATATTTTTGTACTATGTCTGTGTGTTACAGTCGAAGATGGGATATTGCGCACTACTACTATGTACTTTGCACGCTCTGGTGTTTGCCTGGAGAAAGTGGGTGGACCTCAGTTACTTCGTCTGGTACACACCTCCTACATTTATGATTGCCGTTTTTCTGCCTATTCTAGTCTTGGTAGGCAAAACTGTATTGATGTTCCCATGCTTTGCAAATCAATTAGCTCAAATTCGAAGAGGGTGGGATCTGTCTACAAAACATAAAATGGATTCCCCTCTTAACAATGATGTAACAGAAGATGAAGTCTGATTTAAGAGGATGAATTCCAGTGGAAGTTTAGTGGACAATTACCAATGCTGCTATTTTCTAACTGAGTTTGATTTGTGATTTATGTGAATGTGCAGTAAGCCACTGCTTCTCTCACATTTTGTGAGAAGCATCATTTTACTTAGTCCTATTCTCTTTATGAAAACTATGCAGCAATCAAATTTTTACATTTACAAAGCTTGGCATGGCCACTGTACAATATGCATGCAAACATAGCAATTATTTTTTTTTCATTTCTCATATTGTTGATCATATGTCCAGTTATTTGCTCTGAAACATTTGGTAGGTATCATAGAATATGGTGATGTCAACAATGCTAAACAAAAACAGACTTAATTTTGTCGTATATAATGTCCTTTTTATAAGAAAAAAGCTTTTTAAAACTAAACCTGATTTAATTTTACTGATGGTGCTTCAAACTATAGGAGAAAAAGTCAGTACATGGTTTTGAATTCTAAAAACCTTGTTTTTTATATACTTTTTGGAACATTAATTTATTTTAAAGGGAGACGTCCCACAATTGTTTCTCCTAAAACACAATTTCAAGCAGATTGTGTACCAAACACCAGATTTAACAAATACACAGAAGTTAATCTCAGCAGCATGCACTGACCGTGTCTAGTCTTAAATATTACATAAAGGCCTCAGTAAAATCCAATGATGTTATACAACATTAACAGGTTCATTCAGACTAATAGAATTCTATTTTCTAAACTGTAAATTGTTTACTTTTATTCAGTGCTTTGTATTTTTGTTTTCTTAAATTAATGAAATAACTAGTATTTATGAAGATATAAAGATCTTAGAAATACTTCATTACCATAGATTAAGTTTACATTTTGCATTTGTAACTTTGATTAAGTCAGCAATGGTCCAACTGGCGGCCCGCGGGCCACATCTGGCCCGGCGGGTAATTTTATGCGGCCTGAGATCATTTCCAACATTCCAACTTCCGCTCGCTCACTCCCTCCCTCCCTCCCTCCCTCCCTCCCTGGCAAACGTCCTCCCAGGGCAGTGGCAGGAGCCAGCGGTTCGGAGGACGCAGCACGGAGAATGCAAATATTACTTGCATTCTGACAGGAAGGCAAGCGCATCTCTTACCAACCGCGTCCTTAGCAACTGCCGGCTCCTGCTGCTGCAGATAGTGACCCGCGAGGCTGATCAGGAGAGAGAAGATTTGAAGGGGAGGAGAAGAGAGAGGCGGGGGGAGGAGAGGAGGAGAGAGAGATTGGGGGAGAGGAGAATGTGACTTTCCTAAGAATCATAGAATCACAGCTATTCACAGCCTAGAAGCAGACCATTAGACCCAACATGGGTATGCTGGATCTCTGAAAGATCTATCTAGATCTATCTCTTCCTCTAGGATTTGGCATAGAACTCCTGATTAGAGAATATACAAAAGAAAAGTCAAAAGTTCGTAAAAAGAACCTGAGGCTTGTCACAACAGCTGTTGGAAGGCATTATCTGAAAGGTGCTATCGTGAGCATATTCTCTAATATCTGGATACCAACTGGGTGGTGTACCAACTTTGTTGGTATGCAGAATGATAAGGAACTCTTGGTGAAGCTTTGCACTTCAGCCTAGTAGACACTGTTTGATGGGTTACAACGTGTGTCCTCATAGTCTGGAAAATGATGGCAACACACGGACAACACAGTTGAGTTGTGTTGCTCACCACGTGACTTAGGAGGGATTCATGACATCAGCTTTCCTTTCGTCAAGAGTTCAAGCTTGTGCTTGTCAGCTGTTTAACCCGCTTCAGTCTTGTGACTATACATCTTGGAAGGGACGGGAAAAAATGGCTCTTTGGCTCCATTATAACAGCCAGAGAAGAGTCAACCCTTTGCAGTGCACTTGGTTATTCAATAATAATAATAATAATCCTTGCATTTTATATAGCGCTTTTCATGTCGGGAGGACGTCCCAAAGCGCTTCACAGAACACACTGCAAAGTGAATTGACTGTACATTTGTGGGCGAACGCGGCAGCCAATTGCGCACAGCAATGTCCCACAAACAGTCGTAGATTGAAAATGACCAATTTATTATTGTTTTTGGTTTTGGAGGGATTATTATTAGGCCAATACCTATGGGAGGCATGTCTGCAATCCTGCTGGTTGATGCTTGACAAACCTAAATCTCCAATGAGATTTGAAGAGGCAAACAGATGGCTGTGGAACATGATTTCTTCTGTTTGGCTTCTGGTACCTTGCAAAGCCAATGGTCTAATGGGAAAATTCAGATAGGCAAGTAACTCAATGCTGATCAATTTCTTAGTTTCAGCTAGTTCAATTCCAGCAGAACCTGCCTTGCGTTCCCTGTACATAAGAAAGCAGGATGCCTTGCTCCCTCCGCCGAGGGAGAGAGACCACTCCAGAACTGGCAGTTGGAAACTCTGTTTTTATGAGTTCTGAACAGCTGGAACTGGGGAATTCTAAGCACAGCAAGGGATTTCTGTGTGTTGGACTCCCAGCTGACCACAAATAATGCATTGGATTAGCTTTGCAATTTTGGAATAGCTTTGCAATTTTCCGTCAGCTATTCTGACTGAAAATTTTGCAGCTATGCAAAATTTGCTTTTGTATTGTATGTTTGATATGCTTGGCAAGCACTGACCTGACTTGCTTTACATCGACTGCCCTGCCCGCTCCACCATGGAAGTTTTTCAGCCTATCTGTTCCCACTCTCTGGAACTCCATCCCGGAGTCCCTTCACTTCGCTCCTTCACTCACCTCCTTCAAGTCTGTCTAAAGACCTTTCTCCTTGACTGTGCTTTGGCTCCCACCTTTCCAAATCTAATCGCCAGCTTGGGTGAAAGCTTGATTGTCCAGTGCCTTGGGACATCCTCCTGGCATGAAAAAGTCTATATAAATACAATTTGTATTTGTTGTTGTATTGAGTATATGAGTTTTACAATAAATGTGTAGTGTAACTGAATGTTGTCCCCACGTAGTCTCCATTTTATATATAATGCCTAGAATTACAAATAAAGATGCTGTACTTTACTGAGTGGACAAGATCTGTATAATATTATTTGTCATTCATTTTGAGCCCACTCCTTCCCCCCCCTCGGTGTTGACAAACCTGGCTGTTAAAATTAAAAGGAATGTGAAAGTTAAGTTCTGTAGCTCAGTGGTTAGATCACTTGCTTCACAAGCGAGAGACCTGGGTTTGATTCCCGGCAGGTCAAAACCTTGGGCAAGTTTCCTTACTTTACATGCCTGAAGATAATCCCTCAAAAAAACAATAATAATTTGGTTACTCAATCCACGACTGTTTGTGGGACACTGCTGTCCACAATTGGTTGCCGTGTTTCTCCCACAAATATCGAGTCAGTTCACTTTGCAGTATATTCTGTGTAGTGCTTTGAGACGTCTAGAAGATGTAAAAAGTGCTATATCAAAATGTAAGGATTATTATTATCAGCAGAGCTGCTTCATGCTCTGATCTGGTTAAATTCATTGACTGAGCACTTATTTTCTGACTATCTTAGACTATGTTTCCTCCTTACTTGCTCACTAGTTTTTTATTTTTTATGAATTTTATTATTACTATTATTATCATTTGGTTAAACGTGGAACATTGCAATCACAGAGAGAACTCACCTGGCAAAAGGAGAATGGGACTAACACAATTGTAGTCCCTCGAGGCCTCCATATATAATGTAATAATAATAATAATAATGTATATATGTGCTTTTATATATTGTATATAATAAACGTGCTTCAGTAAGTTTCTAGACGTTTTAAGTTGGTTTCTGAATTTATATATTATGTGTTGTAAGAAAAAAATATTGTTATCCAATAAAAGAGACAGATTTATTTTAGTATCCATGTATTTGTGTGTTTCTTTTTGATGGCTGACATCTCCTTTCTGAATCACAGTAATGGGTTATACCTTCATTACTGTGAGTAAGTCAACCAAAGATTTTCTTTAGTAGTGAACTAATTTAACTAACACTTGCTGGAAATCCAGTACTTCGAAACTTTTAATGGCTTTATTTCAGTGTCTAGTTATTCAGTGCGATAAAGTGAAAACCTGTTTTGTGGCTCATGAAGAAATGCGGAATGAATTGTTACTCTTATTACCCATAGGGACAATGACTGAACATTGTTTAACAATCTTTTTATTTTAAGAAAGGGAAGAAACAATAGAATGATTCATCACTTTTATGATAATAACATGTGGCAAGTAACACCGTGAGGTGAAAGTGTGATATTTCATAACATTCAAAAATTATTGTCTCTTTTATTAAATCTGGTATAAAATGTTACATTTTTCTATCCATTTTTAGAACAAAACCCTTGCCCCCACTCCCCAATTCAGCATGATAGTTTGCCCCAAAGATGTCTGCTTCTCCCTACTTCTGCGACCTGCTGAAACCATACCAGCCTAAGCGCTCCCTTTGCTCAGCGGGTACTAGCCTGCTCCGTGTCCCCCACCATCGGTGTCGGGCTTTCAGCCCTTCTGACCTCACCCTCTGGATCTCCATTCCTTCGCCTCACCCCTTCCCTTACCTCCTTTAAGGCCCTTCCTCTTTGACTGTGCCATTCGTCATATTGCACCCTCCGACACTCTTTATTCCAACCCCCAGTTTGGGTGCAAACCCCTGATTGTGCAGTGCTTTGGGATGCCCTCCCAAAATGAAAGGTGCTCTGTAAATGCAATTTGTTGTTGCTGATGGTCCTGATCACAGAGACTGTGTTTTGAGTTTTGCTAAAAATAGGACACTAACCTCACAATTGGACATTTGGTATCCAGTGAAGCAGAGCTCAAATGCTGACTCCAGGACTGCAACACAAAATCGTGGCCTCTTTGCTTTCAAAACCTGTCTAAAAACCTATCTCTTTGACTGTGCTTGCAGCTCCCTCCTCTCACCCAGCTTCTCCTTTCCAACTTGGGCTTCAATCCATCATTCTAAACCATTTTGAGGTGTTTTCCTATGTTTAAAGGCATGATATAAGTGTAAATTGTTATTGACTT